TCAGATGCAGCTGAGGTAATATATATCATTAATGTCATTGATGAAATTACAGCACCCGTCCTTGACCCATACAACTGTTCCTTTATAATCAAATGATACAAGATCATACAACCGTGGCAATATATACAAAACTTTGTTTTTCCCGAAATTATATATCACCAAACACGACCATAAATTGTCCCCTTCAATATATTTCTACAATAACCAAAATATACACGTTAAGTTTACATATATACCATTACTCCCCACTACAATTATTTATGATATATAAACATATACGAATGATGATATTTACAGGTGGTGATTTTACAATGTTTAATACAAGCGTTTTAGGGCCCTTTGGGCTATTATACTGTTTTTCACATACAGTTCTTATAAATTAAACGGTTATAAACACAAAATTTGTTATTGTTGAGAAACGTCTTCATCCCAAACGTGTGCGAGGTACATTGTATAGGTACCATTCTGCATCAATAATCTGCTGCAGTTTACCCGCTCTGAACTGCCTGAAAATGATTGATAAATATTTCGAGCCAAACAAACTGCCCTTCGTCAGAAATTAAGGTTTAATACCTTTTATAGTCAATCTTCAAATAAAGGCGCTCAAATCCTCAATAATCTTTTTCAGGTAGTTGAGATATATACCACGGCAGAAAGTTATTTTATCTAATTTATTATCAACTTAATTTCCCTTTTCTATTCTATACATATGTATATTTGACATAAAATACTATGTTTTCCACAAACACATCTATACTTCATGTTTTCTAAAATATATATGTTTCGTTCTATACGATTCTTAATTCTTGCTCTAGCATAGTTCATGACAAGTCTAAATGGTTAAAAATCTTGGTTCTCTTCAGTAAAATTTTCTCTGGACTACTGTATCTCCCGCTATGGTTTTCAGCTGGTGACTAGAAAAACGATCGACAAGACTACATCTTCTACATTGATTTTGAAACATATGACCACCACGGATGCAACGTCAACTTTTGCAAGTCCTGCATGCCAGTTCAGCCACGTTTTCTTGTCGTTTTCTTTAATCCAGTAACCACAATTTGTGACGTTTATTTCTCTTGTCAGCTCCGGTCTGTCTGTTACGAAATTTCCCTTTACCTGGAATATCAATTATTGATATCTTATTAGAATCACACTGCCAACGTTTCTAGATGATGTTTGATCGGGACCTAGGACTGGATGAAGTTTGATCAAGTCCAAGGACTGGATGTTAAGTTTGATCATGTCCTAGGACTGGATGAAGTTTTGATCAAGTCCTAGGACTGGATGAAGTTTGATCAAGTCCTAAGACTGGATGAAGTTTGATCAAATCCTAGGACTGGATGAAGTTTCTTCACTGAGTCGTAAGCTTGGACGAAGTGTGATCAAGTCCTAGGACTGGATGAAGTTTTAATCAGGTCCTAGGATTGGATGTACTTTGAACAATCGTGATCGAATGTTGATAATTTTGCAGACCTAAGCTATTTTTAAACTCACAATCTTGATATGATGTAACAGATTAATAATTTTGAACGGCATAATAATTTTAATTCAATTTGATCTAAGTTTGATAACCATGGCATATCGCTATTCACCTGCGATATCTCAATTTATATTCGGGTAAAAACAACATGAGATAACGAGGAGATGACCGCGTGCAGACGCGCATGCAATAACATAAAAAGACAAAAAAATTCGAGGTTCGCGACCGATGCCAGTGAGCTAGTTTTAAAGATGCATACACTAAACAATAGTCTTCACGATTTAGTATAAAGGACCAGTAATGTACTAGTTCCATCAATTCTGAACTATTCTCCTTAGAGATCATGCAGTAAGAGCCATTATATAATAACTACAGTGAAACACGCAATTTGATTGGTCAGTAGCCGCGTGCAGGATCAGGCTATCCTGTACGAGGAATTAAAATGCCTTCGCGGGATTCTCAAAATGTCATTGTTTCACTGTAGTTAGTTTATGAAACAATTACCAAATGGTTTTCCAAGCAGGATAGCGTGATCCATGCACTTGGGATGTTGCTCGACTTTCGGAAAGCGTAAAAATACACTCGCCTGCGCCTCGAGTATTTTTACGCTTTCCGAAACTCTCTCGACATCCCTCGGTATTCCTTTATTCCTTGATCAGGATCCCTGTTTGCTCAAGAAAACCACCTAAGCAATTTTATCATGCTAGATCATTTGTAAACTCAAAGATAAAGCAAATTTTTCCGGCCAAAAATATTCATCAACATAACACCAATTCGTTTAGGTTATTCAATTGAAGTTCAAATAGTTTAAAAATATTAGATCTATCCAGTATAGATAAAGTTAGTTTAATTAATTAACTTAGGTTTCCTCCTAAAACAAAGGGACAATAAGAGAATTGCCTTTACAGGAGTTCTAGGAAGAGCAGTTTAGAACTGATATAGATAGAGCTGTCCAAAGATGAAATCTATATCATAGTAATTTTAGGCGAAGTAATTTTAAGAATAAACATTGTCTAAGCCGTGAAAATCAAAGTTGAAGTTTATGTAAATCAGGACAAATCTTTGTCCGATTTACAAACATTGATAATCAGTTGATTAAACATTCATTTCTTTTGAAAGATTTACATTTTTCAAACCTAAAAAGTGTATCAGTGTCTTCAACCTAGTATTCCAAATGTCGTAGGTTCGATTCCCACCGTGGCCAGGCATATTTTTCAAGCTTGCCCGGTGTGGATATAGACTCAGAGTAACATCATATATTCACCTGAGTACATAACACCAACACAGTAAAAACATCATGTCTTTGACCTACTTAGATGCATAGTATAGCATAGTGCATGACCAGTTGCCATGGCTGACTTTCCCTATAGTTCGCCACTGAAATTCTACCTTTAAGAAATGGAAATAAACAGGGACGCCGGAACGATGTGAAGGCGAGGGGGGCATATTTTCGTGAAAGGGCACTTTTGTATTGATATATACTAAGAGATGTTTGCAAAACATCGGGAGTTAAACTTCGCCGAATAATATTTTCTATTTATTGGATGATAGGGGTGTGAGGGGGTTCTCCGCCAGGCGATTGTGCTATTCTTGGAGCTCAATGACTGCATTTCTTGCGTTTTCTGAAGCAAATTCGTAAAAGAATTGCACTAACATTTCTGACAATTCGCTATTTCGCCAAGGCAATCCTTTAAATTGAAAGGGCACCTTTGCCCCTCCTGGTAAAGGGCAACGGGGGCGGCTGCCCCTCCTG